AGAGACCTAGAAACTTTGGAGGGGCTTTAGCTAGCATCCAGCCCATGTCTCAAGTGGAAACTGTATGATATATGATTCTATTATTATCAAAGAGTTGGAGTTTCTTCCCTTCTTCCTGATAAAAAAGGGCTTCACATGTATTCATATGTATCTAATCGACCGCTCTATATTGTTTGCTCAGTTATTCAATTAATCTTTGGGGAGTCACTATGCCTATAATGATGAGGAGATTATAGGAACTTTATTTTCCGGAGAACTTCTTTCTCTTATATGACAATTAAAATGAGAGCAAGTAAGAAGAATGTTTTTTTCTCTTTTTAAAGGATGATAGAATTAATACCACTGAAATAGAAATATATTTGAGTTGAAAAAAGTTAATTAGCCTTGGTTATGCTTGATAATTACAAAGGTTATCTTAAGAAAGACAATGTTTTTCAAACGATTATTTAAAATCCAACAGTACACTAATTGCAAATAAACATCATATGGAATGGTAGTTTGAAGAACGAATAAAATTCAGATGGCTTTAGTTAAAGCAGTGAGGTGCATGGAAGTTTACAGGTACACAGGACACTACTTGAAAGCCACAGGACCAAATGACGAAGAACCTCAGCCCAGATCATCACATTTGTGTTGACCTTGTCAGAGTTTGCAGCAATTGCATGTGGACAACACACTCCAGAAGAGCAATGTTACTGCATTCTGTCACAGAAAGATTCTCTCCCCCAGTGTTAACTTGACCTCTTATTAAAGCTGGTTAGTTGTTTGCAAAAATGTTTCTCATAGACCTAGTAAATATTACTAATAGAGGTCAAGATTTGGCTCCTGAGGTCAAAGATGTCAAGAAAATCTAAATATATCAGCATTTTAAGAATTCACCTTGATTTTTAACTTATTTTTGTTGATGGCATTTGAAGATAGCTAATGTATAATAAAGAAGACAGATATTGCCTATCAAAGTAAGTTACAGTGCTTAAGAACTATCCATGAGGATAGTTCAGTCAGTTGCATGCTTAGATCTATAACAAGCACTAGAATGGCATGGTTTATGATGTTGAATTGCAGATAGAGGTGAATGAACTGGTAACACGATTAGAATTAAAAACCATATGAACTGAATGAAAGTATAAGTTACCTGCAGGTGATAAAAAAAAAAATTGGCAGTTTTTAAGGAAAAGGTTTTCCTGAAGCAATTCTACCCAGCAATTTCAGTAAGACTTTGGGATAAATTGATTTTTTTCATACCGTGAATGAATGGATTTACAGGAAAGGACAATTTTCTAGACAGTATATTTTGTGTTTATTGATGGTGTGAGATTGTGATGCTATTACTAGGCAAAAAGATCCCTAGTATGCAAATCCCAGAGTTGTTTGAATATTGGAATGAGAACGTCCCTGGAAGTTCCCTGTGTAGTGGTCCTGGGTATGATCATCGGGATCAGAAGCAAGATCGTAGTGAGTTACTGCAACTATTTTGAAATGTTTGTATGCTGATGCAGGAGGAAGACTTTGCAAGTGCTTATGCTTATGTTGTTAACTGTGCCACTAAAGTGTAATAAAAAGTTTGCATCAGGGAAGTGGTAAGGACAGTCACAGCAACGAGAACAAATGGATAGAGAAGAAAACCAGAAACTGGTGTTAACTATAGAGACCACTAGAACTTTCTCAACTTGATGAACATATTGTAGAATTAATTTTTAAAATACTTTTGCACATTTTCGAATGCTGATTTGGATTTATGCCTGGTTGCTGTTTGGCATAGCAAACTATTTCTGCAAACTTGGAAAAATATCCTGTATTCAAATAGCCACTCTTTCCTCTGTGTTTTTATGACTTCTACAGAGTGCTCATCATAGGATAAATGTCATTATGAGTTTATGTGTCAGTTATCATTTTTAGGGCACAGGTCAAATTTTATTTATTTTAAATTCTTAGTGTCCAATTTAGTACCTTGCTCATAATGAGTGTTTAATAAATGTTCATGTACTTCAAGGCCCTCTGAACCGTATACATTCTACTTACTGGTTAAGACCCAGCTTAAATTTCACATCAGTTAAGAAAAAGGTTTTTTGTTGTTGTTGTTGTTGTTGTTGTTGTTTTTAGTTATACATGGACTCAATATCTTTATTTTGTTATTTTTATTTTTTGATGTGGATCGAACCTAGGCCCTCACACATGCAAGGCAAGTGCTCTGCCACTGAGCCACAACCCCAGTCCCAAATTTCACATCTTTCACAAAACTTTCTTTGACCACCTCAGATTAAGAAATTTATGCTTATACTTCAATTTAAATTAAGCATTATCATTTAACTTGTTTTGCTTATTTAATCTTGAATTTCCCAAATTAGGAAAATATATAATTTCCTTCTCCCCCTCACCTCTATTCCTTTGGGTCAAGCACAGCTTTAGAAGTTGGATATCAACTTTGTGTGAAAAAAAATGAAAACCTCTTGCTCCTGGCACAAGCAGACATGGGCCAGAATAAACAGTTGGCAAGGAAGTGTGGGCAGGATTTCAGCACCTCCATTTGTACTTATGCAGTACACAATCTGCACAACTGTATTTGGCAGTTCAAAGCATGATAAATGTTTTGATTGGATTAGATTAGGAAAGGTCTCCTGGTTCCAGAAGGAAACTGATAAGGAAGATCATATATTACTTTCTGGTCTGTTCTTGACAAGTACTAAAATGAAGTGGCACCTCAAAAATGGACCTATCAGTAATTCAGGCTTTTCCTATGTGAAACTTACTTCCAAAATGAACTGAGTCCATATTTAAACCTTTATTTTACTGTGAGCTCTGCTTTTATTTGCTATCCATTCTGCAAGAATTGCAATTGCCATATGCTGGAGAGCTATCAGTTTACTCAGACACAGGAAGCTGTTCTCTGCCAAAACCAAACTGTATAAAAATGTGTGTGTGTGTGTGTGTGTGTGTGTGTGTGTGTGTGTGTGTGAGAGAGAGAGAGAGAGAGAGAGAGAGAGAGAGAGAGAGAGAGCACACAAATTCTCAAATTGTTGTTTGGGTTTAGAAATAATCTATTTTAAATATTGTTCTAGATTTGACATATTTCATTTGAATTATACTAACAGAACTTGGTATAATCTGTTTTCATTTCATCAATTTTCTAGGAATATACATCGCATTTCTTTTGTGTTTACTACTCATGTATACCTATGAGTATATATGTGTGTGTGTATGTGTATGTGTATGTGT